TTCTTCCGCAGCCGTGTCAAGCGTAGAAAGCTTTTTGAGAAGCAAGTGCTTGCAGGTACTATTGTGTACTGTACACAATACACTGGTCGTCTACGCATTCGCGGCATTCATTGACTTCAGCTGGACGCTCCCCATATCTTGAACTTGCTAGGCCTCCCGGACAGGTACTACCCTCACAAGGAATGGCCTCGTCACTGTACCTAGTCGTAATACCGTCGAAGACGTAACAACGATGTCGACATCAGCACAGGCCCAATCAGGCGTGATCCGAATTCTTGCCCTGCTTCCAGTCAATTGTTATCGACGTATTTCGTGATTTGTGCCTTGGAACTCGTGATAGTTATAGGCGCTCCACTTTTGTCCGATGTGGCACCCCCTTTGTGGCAAGTGCGGGGCCGGGGGCCGTTGGAATTACTGTATACAGGAGCTCTGCCACTACCGTCCCAATTGTCATCTCCGCAACAAGCTTTTCCCCGTGCACGCTGCCAAGCGAATATACGTGCCATTGCACGATAGAACATGCCATGCCACCCACAATGACCAGTAGCCAGCTTCGATGCACGCGTGACGTTGGCTGGACAGTGAGGAAGTTGGGGAACGTATTAGAATAGGAATATCAACAATTGAAGTTAGGCTGTTCCCGTTCCCCTAGAACTGGGGATGCTAGCCTCCATAAAATCCACCAGGCGGGCGTGGGGCTCGGACTCGGAGGTTGTATTTTCGTACTTCCGCTGAGTTCCAGACTCAGACTTCCGCGCGGTGCTTATGAAAGTCGGCCGGCTGAGTTCTGATTCAGGGATTCGGAGGTTCGGAGATAGTGAATCTCAGGTCTGGGTGGAACATACGCCGGCGTGCCTGGAGTGGTGTGGCCAGAAGTGGTCATTTGCCGCTCACACCTAAGTCGTCAGTGCTCGTACGTACGCGCCCGCGCCATCAATATATCTTTGTTGTGCTATCTCGAGGGTACATTAGAAGTTGGGTGGATGGAGTAGCTCCATAATTGCCGTGCCCATTTAGTGAAGGTGGGGATTTGGGGAGGACGGTGAATTCAACTGGTTCAGAGAGCAAGCAGTTTGAGGACTAGCGAAATTATTAATGACATTCGTCTAGAATATTTCCGGAATTCCCATGTCACATCATGATGGGGTGCTCGACGGAACAGTCCACGAAAGCAATCGTGGGTGAAGTCTATACCCTCATTTACTACAGTAATGGCACTCGTAATTGCAGGCGCCGCGGATTGTACGACGTCGTCAAGTGAGCGAGGGCCACTGGTTGGACGTAGGCGCTTAACTTATGTCAAGTAGCGAGTCGACGGTAGGACAAAAATGTAAAAAGGGGTCCAAGCCGCCGGCGGACTGATGAGCAATCGAATGAGGTCGTTGCGTTGTGGTGACGTTCTAGACCAGCCAACCAGTTGGATACACATCCCTTATGATAGAAACCGTGCCCCGCGGAGTCACCTTTCTGTGGGGGATACCAGGGTCCAGGTGTTGTTGACCTTCCCCGCATGGGAATGAGCCGAGTCTGACTTGTTGAGCCATGCTCAGGGAGACTTTTATCCGAGTTGGGCGTCGAAGCCTGGTACTACAGTATTGCTCACAGACGCCAGACACGCGTCCAAGTACAGTACTCTCAGGCTGCGGTCACCAAAGTACCATCGTTTTGCTCCTGAGGCTGCTGCATCATGGGGCTTTAGCTCTGATCACACCAACTTAGGAGTGATCGAACGGACTACCGAATGCCGACCTAGTGTGTATCCGGATCTTGATCTGAGGTGACCGGACACAATGGGTTAGTCCATAAGTTCACTGTGGGGACGGAGGCTTCATTACCCTGCCCAAAGTCAACATCCTATATAACCCACCTATCAACGATTACTATGACCCTTTTAACGCCCCTCCCAACTTTCCTCCACACCTTCGGTGGCGCTTTTAACTACTGGCTCCCCTCCAATCTATCCTCTATTGATTACCCCTAACGACTACCGATGTCGCTCACAGAGGGTCTTGTTACTGGCTGGATGCCCTCTTACGGCGATGTCGACGACGTAGACATTAGCAACATCACATACCCTGTCAACGTTCCTGACGACTTTCGTGTATCACCCCCGACTCTCAGTCGCACGTCTTCTAACGACTCCTACTTTTATTATTCTCAGTCCTCAGACTATCCCCCCTCGTCGCCCGACTCCTCGGCCGACCACACGGACAACTCTCACACAGATCTGCTCTCCACGTCCTCACTCTCCTCCTCGGATCGCCGCGCTATCCGCAACCGCTTGCGAGATCCTGATTGGGTTCCTCGTCCGCGGAACGCTTTCATCATATTTCCGCTGCGAATACTCCCGCAGGCACGCGCGCGATCCGAGCGATCCCTCTGACAGATCCAGTCGATGCGACAAGACGCTGTCGAAGCGTGCTGGGGAAGAGTGGCGGCGCCTGTCGGCCGCGGAGCGCGAGCAGTACAAGCTCCTCGCTGAGCAGGAGAAGGTCACGCACGCACTCCAGAACCCCGACTATCGCTTCAAGCCCATGCGCCGTCCGTCCTCTGGGGTGTCCCCCAACGCGACGCGTGCGCGTGGGGGCGCCAGCCGTCGCAACGACCGTAGTGCGCGCGTCGCCTCGCTTGTCATGCGTAGCGAGCGCAGCGCCTCTTCGCCCACCCCCGATACCGGTCTCGAGGGCGACGCCAATTTGGGGTCTGGCGGTGTTCAGGCCACGTCGTCCCCTGCTTCTGGCGCGTTCGGCAGGCGCCGTTCTGCCTCGATGCCACAGCCGGTTGCTACGTGGAAGACAGAGGCGCCGCCCGCAGAGCCCGTTCCCACCTCGTGCACGTCGAGCCCGGGTTCAGCTCCCGTCGACTTCGACATGTTTTCGGGAAGCGAGGTTGAGGACTCACCCCTTTACACTCCGGTTTTGTCCACATCGCCGGCTCTGCACGGACTCCCTTGTGGAATGGAGATGTTGCCTCCCTCGCGCCCGTCGTCCTTGGACGGATCGTTTGAGAGTGCTATGGCCGTCAGCGGCAACCAAGTGAGTTCCCCGACCTCCGTAATTCATTTCCTAATGCGCTTTGGTCAGAATTCCCCGGCACTGCTCGGTGCCACCTCGGGAGATTATGTTTACACCGACTCAGGTTCCAGCGTTCAGCAGCAGTTCTCGTTTGCTGATATCGACCTATACCACGCTTCTCTGGACTTGACGGCTCCTTACTCCGACTGGGCGTGCGCTGCCCCCACTGAGTCGTACCCATTGGGTGCGACTGCAGCGCCCCCCAAGTCGAACTCGAACGACTTTGGCGCGAGCGGATGCTTCGGTCCGCCACCCCTTCCGATACCCTTTACCCTCCAGCATACGACATCGGCACTTGACGAAACCCCCGCTGCACTCTGGGACGCCGGGTACCCTCAAGCCGCAAATGGGGCGACCATGTTCGATGGCACCCTTGCCGCGGCGTTCCCGGAGGTCCTCGCGACGGGATACGATGCGATTGCGACCCAGGCGGGTCTTGACGAATTCATTAACGTGTTGTGACGTGACGATAAGAATCAGTTGTTCAAAGTTTTACCTTTCTTCCCCCCACCTGCATGCACCCCATTCCATGTGTCACGAATGTTTGGTTTTTTTTCCTTTTGTGGTGTTTTTTTCGGTTGTGGTTTCTCCGTCGTCCTTCCCACATTCATTTGTAGCATTAGTCGAAAAGGTTGTTTTTGTTTTTTTTTGCTGGCACCGCTATACCCTTTTCCCCACCTCTCCACACTCCACACTCCCCTACCCCGCGATGCCTGTCCGCATATTCCGTGTCTTGTGTCTGTTTTCGCTCCGTTGTTACCATGGGGCAATATACCTGTTTCCTCTCTCCTCCGTCGCGTGCTCTGGGCCGCCCATTACCGCCCACTGCTTCGCTCGCATCATCGTGATATGATGGCGTCCGATGTTCCGTTCGGAAAGGCAAAATCAAGCTACGACCCCTCGCAATGTGGGGGTGTCTAACTTGCGCTTCGGTCCTGATTTGGCGATACTGTAATACCACCGGTACATACACAACACAGACGACATCCACACTGGCACGGACACGTTTCTGCCTGCCCTGCATTCGGTCCGGTCCCCGACGTCTGTGCTGGCCTGGCTGTCCACTCACTCATCATCTGTTTACCCCCTTTCCCCCTTCGCCAAGTATTCGGAACAAGTCTCCTATCCCAGGTGACCGGATCCGCATCATTTCCCCTGGAGGGTTGACAGGCAAGCTCGGAGGATTTGTCAGCCAGATCTGGGGTCGAGGACTTAGATATCGAGAGCCTTCAGCAAATCTGCAACTTGATCGAGCTTGATCAGTCCTGTAGATTCGGGTAGATTGGAGGGTTATCTTTGTCTTTCTCACTCGCATTTTCTCTGCTACGAACGACCACAGGCAGGCGGTGGGGGGCGTGATACCAATGGGCACCGACCGGTAAAAACAAAAACGTAATGCGCGGTGTCCAACATTTGAGCAGCATACACGAACCCGCCCAAGTTATCGTTATCTCTCTGCGCACATTGACGCACCACCGTAAGCAGTAGTGAGCGGGCTCCGCGCAAACTTAGTCAGAGCCGATTCTAAAGTCGGGGTCTCGGGTGACCCGCTTTCAGCGTCGATTTGAATTTTGAAAAGCAGGTCCCCCAGAAAGGGCCCCGCGGCGCTGGAGGGACAAAGAGAAATCAAACCGAGACAACAAGGCCTCGATCGTCTGGTACCCCTAATGGCGGGCGGAGATGCCAGAGCACAAGGATGGCTTTGGCGGAGTCGAGGACAGAGTCCGCTCGATCGCTACACGTCGACTTAAAAAATCAGGAGGAATACAGTGTAGTTTCCGATTTGCAATTGGGCTGAAGGCCGGGATGGTCGCGTTATGATAAAGCACTCTCGAACCCTCTTGAAATCGAATTTACTATCAAATTGAAAACAAAAAGATTGAAGGGTGGATACCTTGGTGGATAGGTAGCGGTGAAAAGAAAAAATGGTTCGGCCCGGGTTCGAACCGGGGACCTTCTGTGTGTTAGACAGATGCGATAACCAACTACGCCATCGAACCGACAGTGATGGTAGTGGGTATTCTCATCATGAATCGTTAAATATCAACCAACGTCTGATGTCCACTACAATGTCCACCTACGGATATCGCGTGAGTGAGGCGATCAGATCAGATAAACAAAACCGTACAGTGACTTGGGATGCTCACTGTCACGTTCCTGCAGGAGATATGGACATTGCGAGTTGTGTTGCCACGGCCCAGGCCACTCTGTGCTTCACCGCCTGGAGCGATGTTGGGCAGGAGGGTATGTCTATTCGATTCGGGACCTCCATTCCTAATGTTTGAGAGCTGGAACGCGCATACCGTAGTCCGAACAGAAGACCATCCGGGCTCGCAATGGAAGCAGGGCTAGTTCGAAGCAAGGTTCGAAGCCAGGCCAGGCACGCGTTTTTGTAATTGCTTTACAGGTGATTTACCCGAGCGTTCTCTACCGCACAATGACGTGGGGTTTGCCTTCGAGACTACGTCTAGAGATGCGTCGGCAACAGGGGGTGCCGTCATCACGTTATCGCCCAACCGAGGCTCAGCGGGGCCCAAAAATGCTGTGCAACCGGCAGTAGTCGAGCATGTACAGCGTGGAATTTCGGTTGCGGGCCGGGCGGGCATGGTAGCACCGTCTGAGATGTCAAAAGTGCTTGACTCCCGACTCGGATGAACACCGGAGACAGGGCACTGCTGCTCCAGTTTCCTCTTGACAGTTCGGACAGTCGGAAAAAGAAGCAAAGCGCACGAGGGAAAAGTGGTGAGGTGATGCGGTGTCGGGCGGCAGCGAGATATGCAACAATGGAAGCGGCGGTGTGTTGAATACGGACGTTGAGTAGGTGGAGGTGTCCCCATGACCCTGCCATAACCCTGCGCATCAAATCGCTCCACCCTGGTCCTGAGCAACTGACGCTGAGAGAATATATATCTGGACGATGCTGTTTGCCTCAAGTGCTAATCCGCAAATATTCTAGGTTCTCAATCAGCGCCAGGAGCGAATTTGATTTAGGGAACAGACGAGAAACATACTGTACAGTCCACTTCGTGTATTGACCCACAAGTGGCGCAACTCTAAACCCACTGAAAGCGCCGAGGTGCGGCTCAAACAACAAACTTTGGTGGACATGGAAAACTACCAGATGTTGAACGGAACAGTGTCGAAGCGCGAGCAAGAGATAAGGACATCGGGACCGTTCGGGTTTAGTAACTAAGCCGATAGAGTAAAACTTTTCATGAGAGGTCAGATTTTCCAATTCTGGCCATGCGCAAAGTCAGGGAAGACAAGTAGAGGGCGGATAGTTACCAATCCACTGACTCTGCTTGGTTAGAACCACCATGCTACCTCGGTGTGGGGTTAGTCACGATAAGAGGCTGCATTGGTAAGATTACGCCGAGAGCGTCAAAAGGTGGCGATGAGATATTCCGGGTCACTCAGACAGGGGAGAGACGCCGGAGATGGACAGTGGAGCGGTACTGCAAACAGTTACGACTCATGAGACGAACAGATGTCAGTAGGAGGATGCCGGGACGCAAAGTAGAAACGAGCAAGTCCGAGTAGGGGAATCATCGTGTCATTCTATCAATAAATTGTGTCTGAGCCTGAAGTCGAAAAGTGGAGAGGCGCAGTTGAGGGAGGGGCCGTGGAGCACAGATGTGGGCGATGTGCGCCTGAATGTTATTGTAGAAGGTCTAGAATCCAGGCGCGTTGGGGCTTGTCAGAATTTGCTTAGTCACCGGCGTTCCTTGAATTTTCATCTTTTTTCAATTTTCTTTTTCTTCGGTTTCCGCCTACGCCCGCCGTTCACCGCGACGTTGACGACCACTGAGCACCTCTGTGCTCGGTTTCAAGACCCACTCACGGCAGCGACGGCAATTTCGGATCATTGATTGTCTTTTCCTTTTCCTTTTCCTCTTCCTCAATCGTCGGATCGGTTCAACTGTGAGTCTATATCAATCTCGACCGTTTTCGACCCCCCATAACCGCTCTCTCCCCCCCTTCGTGTTTTAGTATTTATCTGCCCAATTCACCGAGGAGAATAAGCCACAGCGTAGCTCGGACACTTGCTTTTGATTTATTTCTGCTTCGGCCTTTCGGTTGTCCCATTACTACAACCGCGTGTGTCAACTCTGTCACCCAACCTTTTTATCAGGTCCATATCAAGGCTCCCGTCCACGTTTTCCCCCAGCTCTTCCCCCAGTTGGTCTCCTCAGATAAACGTATACGTCTTCCACCGACGCCAGCTCACACCTAGTCAGCCACTTGGCTTTCGTAAGACTCGCCCAAAGTTCTTATCAGACTTTTCAACGCTCATCAAGGTTACACGCTCCACCTTTGGTCCCAATCTCTCCCAACCTAGTCATAGACGCAAGCACCCTTCTATTTCTGTCTGCACCCCGACTGCTTAATTGAGCAAGAGAAGGTACGCACCACATTACGCTTCTATGCCGCAGTTTGAAATTCACTATCTTCCTTTCCCACCATCTCTAGGGTCAATCATCACCCATTCATATACAAGCCCCACCCCCCCCCGGTTCTGTATTGTACCTATCCCAGGCCTCTTATCCTTTTACCATGTCCTCCACTGTGTTGACAACCCACGGGTGCTCATTACCTGGAGACATCTGTTACTCGCGCAACTCCTCGGCAGCTCCTCTCCCCTTGATCCCTCGACGACCTTCCTCTGTTCCTAATTCTCGTCGTGTTTCGCCCCTTGTTGCCCCTCATGCCGACTCGCCCCCTGCTGGCGTGATTTTCACTCGCGCCAGCCCACCCACGACGCCAGCACATTCGAACCTCGCATCCACTGAAGTTCATATTCAGCCGCCGACACCAGACACCACAAAGGCGGGATCTAGCCCTAACGTTTCTTCATCGGTTCCTCCCACCACCCTGTCCGCTCAGCCACGACGTGTCCGCGGCTACCGCTTTCCTGTCATTCGTCCCCCGGAGCAGTCGACACCGACTCCTGCAAAGGCGGATTCGGGCAGCGACACCCCTCGCCAGAATACGAGTGTCCCTTTCTCACGGAATTTATCCGAGTCGCATGTCCACACCCTTGCCGCTGCTGCGGCTGCAAGATGCGAACCTAGCCCACCTTTACTCAGGAAAAAGTCGGGCGAGCCACTCAAGTCGTCACTCAAAGTAAAGCGGACACCTGCACGGGGCTCGTTGACTGTCATCACCGATCCGGCCGGCTTGAGCTCCTCTAAGAGTGCGCCGGCAACGCCAGGAAATAAGGGGGTCCGCTTTCACTCTCAGCTTGAGCAAGTGAAGCACTTCCTTGCGGAGCAGAAGCCCATTGCTGTCTCGCGCGACGGGAGTCCAACGGACACGAGTGGTACGGACTCAGAGTTTCCCCCTTTCATCTATGGCCGCGACGGCGATGATCTCACTGAGCGTGCGCTCGTCATGCACCGTGTGGACGTACCGGCGGCGCCGCTCTTGGCTGACGATTCACGTGACGTTGTTGTCGAGAGCGTGGACCTAGTCGGGACCACGATCGAAGGTATCGTTCGCGTGCGCAATATCGCATTCGAAAAATGGGTTGCGGTGCGCTTCACCCTTGACAAATGGCAGACAACCTCGGAAGTCACGGCTCGCTACAAGGAGTCTCTGCATGATGGGGCGGTTGACCGCTTCATGTTCTCCATCAAGCTCACAGATGTCCTCTCTCGTGCGGAGGAGAAGACCCTCTTCATCGCCGTCCGATACTCGGTTGCGGGTCGTGAAATCTGGGACAACAACAACGACCGAAACTACCAAGTGCGCGTTGTGCGCGAGAAGCCGACCAAGCCAACTCCGGTGGCCTCAGAGAAGCCGCCGACGCCTTCCCACGCTGATGAGATCGCGGTCCTGCGCCACAAGCTCGAGGAGGTTGTCAAACTCGGTCGCCCATCCGACACAATCGGCGGCATTCTTGCTCAGCATTCGCGCCGTCGATGGGGATCGCCGTCTCGGACACCGACCCCCCCGTCGCGGGATGCGACGCCGAGCTTCAAGTCGGAGGGATCCCTTGCTGCGCGATACGACTTCGCGACATCGTTGCGTACACCCTGGCGTGCTCCCGCCGCGCCGTCATCCCCCGCGCACGCACGGACCAGTACCTATCCCTCTGCACTACCGAACTCAGTACCATGGCCGCAGCCATCCAGCGCCCGCGCCCCTTGCGGTTCACCTCGCGATACTGCCGATGGCACATTTTTCTTCCACGAGCGTGATTCGGATTCGGACGATGCGATCTCACATACGCCGACCCTTCGCCGCAGCCACTCGGGCTCTGGATCGCGCAATCATACCCGTGGTGGGGCTTTCGAGCTTTCGCATGCACCCAGCGTGAAACGTACCCCACCTACATCCCCTTTCGGCAGTCCAGAGCTTTCTTTCGCCACGTTGTCCACAGCTCCGTTGACTCGGCCTCAGCCCCCATCGCCAGCGCGCTGCCATTCGTTCCCGCCGCACTCGTCACCAAAGCAGCACCATCAGGCGCATGGCTGGGTCGTGGGCGGGAGTGAGGAGAGTACCCCTTCGATCACCAGCAGCTCTTCGTCACGCTCTTCTAGCCCAACTCCGAGTTTGAGCCCCGCAGAACCAGTGGTAGTCACGCCCCTAGCAGCAACCGCGGCAGGGGACGCGGAAGAAAAGTGTGACTCACCACTTCATCATTTGGGCAACTATCACACGCTTCTGAACCGGTATGTTTATATCTTTAGATGAAGTAAACGTGGACGTTGATGTTCTTATCCCGTAGCTTCTGCTTCTTTACTGGATCAGCGTCTGATGGAACGATGGATCATTCCGACAGCATCCCGCGCTCTTTATCGGCGTCAAGCGTCGAGGAGTTCCTATCCGTGGGCCAATCGCCACCTTTGGGGGGCAGCCATTATCGCTCGAGTTCGCCTTTCGCCACGCCTCGCGCGCATGGACGGGTATCCGCGACGGCATCCGATGATGAACTGCAACGCAGCGGGTCTGTTACGCCCACTGGGCCCACGATACATCGTCTCACCCGCACACCGCC